CCAAATAGCATCGATACCAGTGTGATATGAAATGCTGCAGAGAATATTGTCTGCTATCTAGCTCCTAATTCAAGAGGGATGTAGTTCTCCTTAGTATCCAGTGGCATACTGTCCAAGTCTGCATAGATTGACTTGGACTTTGTCCAGTATCTCAAATAGCATCAAGTACTTATGATGAAATGACAAGTTTGTGCTTCATAAGGCTCACCCAAGAGTGTTATTTGGATTAAAAGTGTACCATTTCCATAATGTGTTTCTTTTGCTTGAGTTCAGAGCAAATAAGACAAATCGCTGAGGGAAAAATGTAGGGGATAGACCTGCCAGGTAGATGTCAATAGGTTGTGTTCTCTGTTTTTTCTCCTGAATTTCAGCTCCAGTAAAGTAAACATGGGGTGTCATGGAAGTTTGCAATGGCCCTCAGCAAAAATCACTGCAGACAAATCAATCCCCACAGTATGTTAATTCTTAGGACTCAAAGGCAGAGATCCAGTGCTATTTTTCTCTCTAAAGTGGCCAGTTGCTAAAATATAATTTAGAACCTCTCTTTTTCTCTTGAAAGGAGATCATAGAATTTTCTGCAGATTCTGACTTTGATTTTGGTTTTTTCTTTCCAACAGTCAGTTATCTATTTCAGTAGATGTTAAGAAAGGTCAAAAGTTAAAGATTAACTTTCTTTTGACTTAAAAAACAGGAATAACAATTTTTTCCTGAAATATTTCCACCCTGTCCCACCATGAAAGCATACTATGATGCTGCAGTCCCTCTTCAGTGATATAATTAGATCAGTTATAAGAATAGTTCTTGAAATGGGCCTCTGCAAACTATTCTCAGTCAACAGAAGTGGTTCTTTAAGCCTTGAAACCTTCAGGCAGGTTATGGTCTTGCCTTTCCTGTCAGTAGAAATAATACAATGTTAAATTGAGGTGTGCCAGGTGCTTTTTTTATTTTATTTTATTTTTTATTGTTTATTTTCCAGCTTTGTCTAGGTTGTTATTCCCATCACTGACTGTAGATTTGTCTGAATTTACAAGATTGTGACTGTCTAGATCAGATACTTTTTTTCCAGTATAGGTACTCATGGACACTGATCACACCATTTCTGTTTTTTCAGTGAGGTAAAGAGAACAGGATCCTTTTGTTTCTCTGGCTTAGGCAGAATTTGCATGAATGTGTGAATTTTCTTCTTCCTTTTTTTTTTTCCTACTTGCTGTTTCTATGACATTCTTTGCAATATGGCAGAATGAAATGAAGAAGTATGCCGAGGCAGTGAAGAGGGGGAAGGGCTAGAAGCACAAATAGTGTCTAAGTGAAACAAGAATGCCTGGAAAACGTGAATAGCTCAATTATATCTGAGCTATTACTTCATTTATAAAATTGAAATATCTTGGCTTGAAATTGCACTCTTTGCATCACCGTTCTGCACCTTTGGGGAATTACAGACCTTTTGAGCAGAACCAGTCTGCACATTGTCCTCACTTAGCTGTTGTTTTTTTCCAGAATCAAAATTAAAATATGGTGCTTAATGCTGCTCTGCATAATGCTGTATGACAGAATCATCTGAGTATGTCATGGAAGTAACAACTCCAAGGGTCGTCTTCTGTTTCTCTTCAGCTGTGTCTACTGCTTTGATTTGACAAAGGCTATTTGAGAGTGACATTTGATTACATTTGTATCCATTCTACCTTCCAGTGGTCACTAATAGAGACCTTGGATTATGTTAGGAGTGGTGGAAGGAGGAGGAAGCAAGGTTTTTCAGGTACTCCTCACGTTTCTCTGGTCCCAGGCCAGCGCCTATGGCACAAAGTGAGAGATGCAGTCTGAGCTGCTCCTGCTCAGCTGAAGCAGCTGAGGCTCCCTTTGGTAGGTTGCCTCAGATGGGAAGGTTTCATGCTGATGCTGCTACAGCATCATGTGTAACAGGCACTCTCCTGCCTTTGTCCAGCATTTGAGAGCATTGCAAGCATGCCTTAGGCACCAAATGTGGAAAGCAAGTATGGTGAAGAGAATTTTTGCATACTTTGAGAACATGCATCCCATATACAGTGCTCTGGGTAGTTGACCTACCTATCTCACTGTGTTTTGCTGTGAATGAATTTTTTACAAATCAAATCCAAGTTTAGCTGTTCTATTTTTTCTTAACTCACAGGCAATGCTGGAGTCCTCAGGGCTAGTTTCTGTCTTTATGAACTGTGGTCTTTACAACTCCCTAGTTTAAGTGAAACCTTTTTGAACTATTTCTTGGGTTGGGGCTGAGAAAAAATAAAATGTTCAAAACCACTTTTTTATTATTTGATCATTCTGCTCCCAAAGGGGAACAAGAACACCTTTGAAATTGTGCATTTGGAAGAAATACTTGGGGAAACCAAATGCATGGAGGCAGTCAACCCAGATGCATTAAAATAAATGGATCATGTGCTGCTAATTTGGACATTCTGTGAACCTAGTCTTTGTTGGAACTGTTTGGTTGCCTTCTGGGAGCAGAGACTTGCTCATGTGCAAGCAATGTGAAATCAGGACTTGGTAAGTGCAAAGCATCCCCAGGTGAGCTTGAAAAAAAGTGGATGAGTTGTCCAAGCTCTTATGTGAGAATTAAGTTTAAGAAATGAAACCATTTGTGAGCAAGTAATGTACCAAGAAAACCTTTATAAGAAAAGGTGATACATGAAAAACTTTTGAAGTAACCCAGGAACCAGAGTTTTCAGTAGCAGAAGAGGTTTAGCCATCTCTCAGCAGGGAGCAGAAATCCATGTAGTTCACCAAATCTGGACGTGGATTCTTTTCCCATTTAGGTAAGTCTGTGCAACTTTGAATACAGCCATGTTTAGCCAAGAGAATTATTTGGCCCAGCTCTTCTAAATCCTACCTTAGGGAACATATTATTGTCATGGTAACATGGTGAAAGCTTTTACTGTAAACTCAAGATAGAAATTTATATTGTTTCAAAATGTATATTTGGAGCACAGCCTGTTAATATCATCAATATTTATACAGCAGATAATATCTTCAGACAGGCTGGACACCATCTGTCACGGTCTGATTTCATTTTATGGCTGTAGCAAAGTGAACTGACAGTGTAGAATTTTTCACAGAAGTCAGCTGGAAGTGTGTCATGGTTTTCACATAAGCCTGTGAAAGGTTGTAAATGGTGGTCATGTATTCATGTTATGTAAACAGGGAAAGTACTTGTTTTGGGAGAGGATTGATTTCTGTTTGTTTGCATCCTGAAGCAAGTTTAAATTCTGTTTAGTGCTCTACTGTACTGCAATAATTTATAATTGAATCCTTCATACATGCCTTAATGTATCTCTGCAGGGAAAATTGAGCATGAAATCATTTGCTCTGGAAGAATTACTGAATACAGGAAATGGCAATTTTTATAATTAAATAAAACTTGGGCAGTTCATGGCATTATCTTCAGATGACAATTTAAAATTAAGGTTGTTTCCTTTTTCATAATAAACATTGGGTTTATGACACTTTCAGCATTTCATGTAATGTTTTATATCATTAGGACAACAAAACACCCATGATAAATTTATTCAAAATTATATTAGTGCGTTTTAGGTCATATTTATTTGCTAGGGTTTTATAGGACATACAACTCTTGACAATAGACAAACCAGTTTAAAAAATGGCAGTAGTATTATTGGGTGCTGAAATAGTTTTCTTGATATGTTTGTCATCAAATAAGTACTAAAATATTTTTCACTGAAGATGCAGTAACTGAAGGTATGGATGAAATAGTTTCATGCCTATTAAGAAGATCCTGTTTCCCCAATACTTGTATGGTTTGTTATTCATGAAGTTAATTCCCTTTACTGAAGTAAGTACTTAGCAGTCCAGTTTTGTACATGTAATTCACTGCCTGGTGAGATATATGTGCATCCTGCTGCTTTGTAGTTGGGGGCTTTTTATCAGGACATCATTTTTCTAATTGTGATGAGTGTAAAGACTTGAACTGTTCTAATTTGTGTATTCATATGCATTTGTGTGCACATTTCTCCTGTGCTAGTGGTTCTCTTGTTGCTGCTTAATATATTTATCTGCCAAGATTCGTTTTATCCTATACAAGGAATTGATTTAGCAATGTACGGGTAACAAAAAGCATTTTGACTTGAAGAACGGTTTTTTTCTGAACCTGCTCCTTTCTTCTGCTACATATAAACCAGGATTTCCATTTCTAAAATAATGCATTTCAGTAAAACACCAGATAGTCGCCTGATTTTGTAGTTGTTTGTACGATGTACAAGCGAGTGGTCAGTGCAACAACTTAGTCACTTACTGTTAGTCAGTCTGTCTTTTATGAATCCTTCTGAGGTATCTATTATGCTGATTTGCTGTGTCTTTCACTTAAAACCTCCCTTGTGAAAAAGCAAATCAAGTGAACTTGCCCAACAGCCGTGCCCTGCCCTGGGATATCCCCGCCTGTTCTCGGTGACCAGGCTTTGTCTCCAGTTACACTGTTTAAGTGCAGCAACTCCTTATTGGTCAGGCCACGTGAAGGTACTGTTTATTTACGTTGTTCTTTTCAACCTCAGAGTTAACCAAAAAGCTGACATGGTGCCAGTCATAGTTATTTCTCCATCTCACTTTAGTTCTGTTACATTTGTCCATTTGTAGAGCAAAGTTAAAGAAATCCTGAGATTTAAAATGTGCACTTCTTCATGGTATGACAGCGAAGAGGTAGTAGAAGGAAAGGGGGTGAAAGGAGAGTAATAGGAGTATGTGTAGCTTCTTTAGGTTTTTCAAAAGCCTCTCTCGACCACTAGTGTAATAATTATGTGGAAAATTAAATAACTTCAAAGGCCTCTTGATGGAGATGAGCACAAAATCTAAGATTATTATTTGTCTGGGGATACAGTCCAGCTACACTTTCATCAGTAATTTTTTCTTGAGAATGAGACAGAATAAAAGCAATGAAGGCTTCTTGCAAATTTTTGGATTTTGTTGAAACTAGCAGAGAAGTTTAGTGCAATGGAAGGTCGTATATCAGACAAATGAGAGTTGCGAAAAAAGTACATTTTATTGCATCGTCTAGCTTGAAAAATAACTTTGGCACAAAGAGACTCTTGGATTTCATGTAGAGTGGGCATATACCCAGGGAGAGCAGCAGTGGCGTGTTGTGTCTGGTTCCACAGACAGCCTGTGGCACACCTTCACTGTTCCACTTGAGAGTGCTAGGTTGCAACAGACTGGAATCATAGAAAACCAGGGCTGAAGGTGATGCTGAGAAATCACTTAGTTCTAGCTTTAGCACTGAATTGGATGGAAGAATTTGTTTTAGAAATTATTTGTTGCTTTATGCCTTAAAAAAATGAAAATGCTTGCTCGCTAGGATTTTTAGTGTCCTTAATTTAATATGATTCGTTTGGCCATTGAGAAGAATATGACCTCTGTAAGGCAGGCAGAGCTGAATTGGGTGTGTAGCAGCTCTTAAACCATCACAGTTTGCAACCCAGTGCATTAAGCCATTGCCAATTTCAGATTGCTTTAGTATTCTGGATTGCAAACTGTGGCAATTCAGGAGTTGCTACATTCAGCCATCCATGCAGCAGCAAGCTCTGGGAGAAATGGCATAAACTGCTTGAGCAACCCCAGTTTAGTCCTAGACATCACATGGATTACCTGTGAGTCACAGAGTGCTTCCATGGCAGGCAGAGTTAGTACTTCTGTAGTACTTCTGTCCTGGTAGGACCATTTCAGAAGATTCATATGAACACTCTTGAAGGTGAGCACAGAGTCACAGACATTTTCCTCTATTCTTTAAAAGCAGTGCTTAATTTTTATAAAGAGTGCCTCATTTACCTACATCTATTTTTATTTTTTTTAACCAAACAACATCAGCAAACAAGGAATTGCAAACACAGACAGACCAGAATCTCAGTATGGCAGTTATTTTTTTAAGAGTGATCTTTTCATTTGTATAAATACAGGACTGAATGTGAGCAACTCCTGACACCATTGTTCTCCAAACCTCAGTGTTCTCAATATCTCTTATGAAAATCAGTGACAGAGGTACAGTCTGATTTTCATCTCCTGTGCTACAAATTGTATGAACTTTGTTTTGGAATCCACATTTGAAGTGAATCAAGATGTTTTGTACTAGAAAAGACCAACACTGAGTGCTTTAAAGGCCCAAAGTAGGGATATAAGAGAGCATGTCTACCAGTTAGGGTTGGGGCAGCTATTCTGGGAAACAGGTGCCTAAAATTATTTAAATTATTTGACGTAAATTTTGTGCACTGTGTCAGGCCATTTCAGTGTTTAGCTGAGGCCTGATTCCAGTGTGGAATGCATTTTATGGCATGGCATAGTGATGTGTCTCAGCCCAGCCAGTAAACCATCTCTGCAGGACACTGCAAAGAGCAAGCTGTAATCATCATGAATGTGGAGAGAAATGCTGGTTTAGCTGTCGAGCTGGAGGAAGCAGCATCATTGGAAAAAGCAGCATTTGAAAAGCTGCTTTTTTCCATTAGATATGTTGTTTCAAGGACAAATACCCTAATTAATCTCCAAAGCCTCTGACACCTCTGCAGGAGCTTAGGCTCTTTGTTTCTTCTCCCTTTACCCAATGCCAGCCTTGTAATTATGTCAAAAGCAGCCACCTTTACCCTTTCTGCACCACCTATTTTCTAAGGCATTCTCCTGACTCGCACAATAGTGTGGGTTTTTTCTAGAAAAACTATTTTTTACTGTATCCTGAACCTTTTGGGTAATACATGTGTTTGGGTAAAATATGAGTATGGATGTATTTTTAAGAAAAAAAAGTCCCCTTTGCTTCAAGATGAGTGACAAACTTGTACATATATTTGTGTATGGTTGCTGTAGGTGTAGTCTTTCACCAAATGAGCAAAAACCTTTAATAGGTGTTTGCCATAAAGAGACACCCCCAAAAAAAGAGGGTAATATGTAGACTTTTTTCCAAGAGGTAATTTCATTCTGGTCTTTTGCCTAACAGTAATGTATTTCTAGAGTCTTGTTGAAGAAGATTCACAGCAGGAGAATTTTTCGGGGTATTCTTTCGTGATATTCTGTAGAATCTGGAAGGGATGGAATCTTTCTCAGAGTAAAAGGAGGCTCCTTTGCTCAGAGCCCCTCTGCCTTGGAAGCAGAAGTACTCATTTGTGCAAATATGATAGTAATGTCCTAGACACTGAGAGTAGATGTGCTATTGTATGTGAGAAAGAATATTATTACAGAGACAAAAAGGCAATGAAGGTTTTTGTGTTTCTAAGGATGATGTGGAATCTGCCTGTTTAAATTTTTGTCAATGTTGTGATGAGAGTGGTTTTTTTTGTTTTGTTTTGTGTTTGTTTTTTTTTTTTTATTTCAATATCTCGTAGTTACTACCAGTTACGGTTTCTGCTACATGTCTTGCAGCATCTTTATTGCCCCCTCTCCATCACTCAGAAAAAGTAGTTTAGTAAACTGTAGATTTATGAAGCTTACTCAGTCATATATGCTGTGGTTATTGAGGCCAGTAACTCGACACATTAAAACTATCAGGCTTATTACTTATGTCTAATGTGCAGGTGTTTGCAAACTGTGGTGGAGATTCTGCCCTGCTGCCCTTGGTGCCTCCTCAGGACACTGGTGACAATGGCAGGGTGCTCTCTGGGTACATAATGTACCTATGCATACTTCACTATTCATCATCCAATGTTCTCTTAATATAAAGCACAGTGTGGGGAGGACTTTCTGTGGTGATTGTTGGCTTGTGATAGAGCTGTTAAGTAAATTAAAAAAAAAAAAAGACTGTGCAGGAGAGTTATAACTATAGAATTTTTTTCTCACTGCAAATAAACGTGTTCAGACCTTCATGCATGTATATATGTATGCAGGAATGATACAGAGATCAAGATGAAAACCTTCACTTCCAAAAAATAAGAACACCCAGGAGAAACAGGCTAATGGAGAAAGGAGAGTGGTATGTGTAGACAGAAATGGGCAACCAATAGCTCAGGGCACAGCCACAGCCAATGACTTCACTTTGCCTGCAGTTAGGAGTTCCAGGTCATACAGGACTGTGTTTGGCTCTGGGTGTGGTAAAACCTAGGGAATATTTGGAGCACTGGTTGGAAAGCTGCAGTGAGTTCCTTTGTGTTCTTTTTGACCAATGAAACTGATGTACTGAAGGAAATGGTTTGGGTATTTTAGCAAGATAGAAAGTCACTATAATATAAGGAAAGGCATTGGGATTGTTCAGCCTGGAGAAGAGAAGGCTTTGGGGAGACCTAATTGCAGCCTTCCAGGACCTAAAGGGAGCCTACAAGAAAGATGGAGAGAGACTTCTTACAAGAGTGTGTAGTGACAGGACAAGAGGGAATGGATTTAAACTGAAAGGGGGTAGGTTTAGCTTAGATATTAGGAAGAAATTCTTTACTGTGAGAGTGGTGAGGCAATGGCATGGGTTGCCCAGAGAAGCTGTGGCTGTCCCATCCCTAGCAGTGTTCAAAGCTGGGTTGGATGGGGCTTTGAGCAACCTGGTCTAGTGGAAGGTGTCCTTGCTCAGGGCAGGGGAGTTGGAACTAAATGGTCTTTAAGGTCCCTTTCAACCCAAAACATCATATGATTCTGTGATAATATTTCTGACTAGCTCTTATCCCAGCCTAAATCTCATGGAAGTCTAGTCTCATGGAAGTGTAGTAGCCTTCCAGTGTACTTTTGTTGCTGTTTAATGTCAGAAGAGAGGAGACATCCTGTAGTTTGACGTAGGCAGAACAAATGTCATCTGCTTAACTTTTCCACTTGGGGACATTAGAAGTCATCACCAACTCTACTTGATTCTATGAGCTCAAAATGCAATAGTTCCTCTGTGCAATGAGACTTTTTAGAAGTGAGATTTGGGACATTCTAGTAGTGGGCACAACATATTGTTAATGGGGAAATCTCTAGCAAGTCTTTGGGCTCCTAAGGGACTCCAGGAGTTGCACTGCTTGTTTATGCAAGCAATAGCTGTGTTCTATAGTTGTGAAGGAGATTTGTTGTGATTTTTTTTTTTTTTAAATCTTTTTATCCCCCTCCCAAGCATGATACTTAATTGAATTTTAAGGATTTGGACGGTTTTTTTAGGGTGATGGGCATTTATGCCTTTGTAAGCAGCTAAAGTAAACAAAAGAGCAGATCTACACTGCTGTTACTACCTTCTCTCTGCGCTGCCTAGCTGCCTGATGCTGCAGATGTCTGAGCTGCTGCTGGTGAGTGCTACAGAAGGCTATTCAGCTTCCCTTTGCAGTCTGCTCTATCCCCTGATTCTCCAGGAGATACCGTAGCTGTGGCTGCAGATTAGATTTTTCTCTCCCTCCCCCTGCGAGACCTCTGTGTGCTTTGACGTCATGTGTGCTCCTTTCAGTTGCCATAGCAGCCCCATTCCCCAAGCTCTGCCTGTCTCCTCTGGTAGGTTCCACAATGGTACAGCCAGCATCACGCTGCACAATGGTTTCCAGGCAGTGAAAGAGCGTGATTCAGCAAGCCACTCTTCCCCCCCCCTCCCCTTTTATTTCATTATTATCAGACATTTTGCCTCCCCTTTTTCTGTTCTGACTATTTTGCCTCCCTGTTGCGTTCTTGGCTAAAACTAACCGACCCCTTCCCCCCCAGGCTTTTATTTGGTTCTTTAAAGGAAAACCGTGATTTACCTCTAAACCAGCTGCCCATCTTTTTTTTTGTTTTTTTAATTATCTATCATTTTTTTTTTTTTTTTTTTTCTATTATTATAAATAGCCCATTTTTTCCTCGGCACTCTTTGGAATGTGATTTAAAAATACCACCTAAAGTCGCAGTTTGGGGAAAAGGTTTCTGGACGAGGAGAATAGCTCGCAAGCAAGGAATGGTAGGTGTTGATGCTAATATTCTTTGACTAACTGCTTTCGCAGGGTGGGGTGATGAATATTGATTGCTGTTTAAAAAAAAAAAACAAAACAGGGGAGAGGGAGAGAGAGACACACAGGTTAATGAAGTAAATTGCTAACTGAAGCAAGAAGGCTGCACCTGTCCTTTTTGTGGCCAGAGAACCATCATTTTCCTGTGTTCGGGTGTGTATGATCTTTAATGTTTGGGCGCTGCAGGTGACCGGCGGTCGTGGGAGCAGGGCAGGGGGCACATCACGGATGGGAGTGTGATAGTGCTTTACCAGCTGGCTCATGTAAACAGTAGTGTTTTACTCAGCCTCATCACCTCTAACGCTGCTTGGGGGCTTTGGGGGGAAGGAGGTGTCTTGGCTTGCAATTCGGTAGAAATGTGTACGTTATGTGGGTTATGTGGTCCACACAGAGCCATATGAAATTCGAATGTGTAAAAATAAAAAGAAAGAGAGGATAAGCAACTATAGGAGATTGAGAGGGCAGAAGTCTTGGCCTTTTGCAGAGTGGTTGAATAGGAAAAAAAAAAGTCTGTGTGGGGAGAAGTGAGTGTTTGACAAACCTTGTCGGATGTGGGGATGGGGGTTGTTTTTAACAAAGTAGCCTTTAATCATCACTCTTCTACATTACTTGGGTGCCAGTGAACAACTTGGCCCATTGGGTTTTACAGAACCAACAAGAGCTTTCAGGGGAAGTGTTTACAGCAAGCTACAGGCCAGTTATTTTAAAAAAGAGAATTAATTATCTGTAGATGCTGCAGAGAAATCAATGTTGCTTTGCAGGGAAATCCTCTGACAGCAAAGCTATTTCTACAGGAAGAAATGTTGGTTTTGTTTTTTACAGCAGAGAGACATTATTAAAAATAATACAAATTTTGACTTGGATAATTAAGTGTTAGAGCATTGTTTAATAAGCCGGTGGTGCTTCCAGTGAACCATGATGGACATGTTTCACAGCATTCATGTACAGAGTGATTGTAAGCTTGTTTACATGGGCTCTTTTTGCTGCATAGCTTCATGATATCCTCAGTGCAACCTTCCCCTCCTCTGGTATGTTCACTGTGAGTTTTGCCGGAGACTTTTTTAGAGACAAACTGATGCTATAAAAATACAAATTTTGAAGAAAATGATGGCATAGAGTAGAGATTTATTAGCAGGAAAATACAAATTAGTATATTGTAAATTATCAGAGGAATCTGCAATCAGCTTGCTGGAGGACACAGAGCTTGTCCTGAGAGCCCAGCTTCAGAAAAAGAGAACAGGATGGTGTAGGTACTGCACAGGGCTGTTTGTCTCTGCTCACATGTAACCTGTCTTTGGCCCCTATGCCTTGGGAAAAGTGGAGTGCACCAAACCTCTCGTATTTTAACCCTCTTTCAAAACACTGCTGGGTAGTCACTGGTCAGGAATACTCTGGAGTAATATTTTCTTCTGTGGTCCTCCTGCTGTGTGCTCTCTTCCTGCTAGGAAAGGTGGCATAGAAATACCTTTTCAATAGGCTCAACTAATGACTTTGTCTTACAGGGATGCAGATGTGAATGACAAAGGTGATTTGACCTCAGCCATTAAACAATATTCTTTTTCTCTGATTCTCAATAAACTGCACTCGTGTGCATTGTTCTCTCCTGCTGTTTCAGAACATGCATAATTTGTCAGGGTCCTGTTGTAATTATGGTTTTGTTGAGGAGTATTAGGATTATCCTAAATAGGATAAGGACAGAAATCACTTACCATGAAAAATAAGTTACCTTCAGCTGCCTCTCTGCCTGCTTGAAAAACGTCCTTCTCATTGTTAAAAAGCTCCTTCAGTGCACACACACATTTTTATGAGCAGACCTTGGGGATGAGTGTTTTCTTGCAGGTTTGGGCTTTTTTTCCCTCTTTTTTCCACAGTCAGTGCTTGGCATGTTTGCAGCCCTTTTTTAGAGGTTTAACAGTACTGGATCAATATACCATCAAGCAGTGTTACAGTTCTGGGATCTGGCTTGTGAAAGCAAAGAGAGTTATCAAAATTTCACTGCCATGGTATTGGACAATGTCATAAAGTTCGTCTGTAGTTTGCAGTCCATTGCAAAACTCATCCAATTTAAGGAAGAGCTAAAGGATGCCCAAAGGAGGATGGTTTTAGCATTGCTTTTGCAGATGACATTATAGTTTTGTTAAGACTTGGAAGACAGAAAAGCTGCATTTAGGGAAAGATCTCCAGCTTTAAAATTGGTAACCTCTTAAATTGTTCAGTAAAAACTACCCAGTTCTTTAGACAATTCCAAATTACAGAAAATATCACCAGCTTGTTGATAAATTTTCAAATCAAAGTGAAGTGGTTTTTTGTTTGTTTGTTTTTATGGCAAGCGTTCTATATCCGTAACCCCTCCCATTCCACTGATTACATTTTGAGCTTATAATAGCACTACTAGAAATGATGTCCTAAAAGCCTAGTGATTGCAGTATTACCACAGTTACTGCTCTGTTATGTCATCAGGAGTAAAGGAGAGAGACAGTCTCTCCCTGTATTATTGGACAACAATACTGAATATGGATATAACCTGGCTTTCAATGCTCATCGTCTGCTACCCTTATCTGTGATTCTTGCACACTTACGGTTTTGAAGACTACTTGCAAGAAAAATGAGCCTTCATGAAAGGGCAGCAGTCAAAATTAAAAAAATGCTGCACTTGCTGTGAATTCCTTTTTTTTTTTTTTTTCCCCCTTCTGGCAGCACCATCTGTGGAGGCAGATATAAGAAAAAGTCTCTCACAGAAACAAAATCTTTTGTACTCGATTAACCGCCTGAAACCGATGGTCTAAAACTGAAAACAGCATACAATTTTAATTAGTGTGAAATATCAGGTGTTAGGGCTATGTTACCTTTCTATTATTTGTGATAGTGAGAGTAAAGTAGAGATAAAAAGCAGTACAGGGGATGGGACAGAACTTCACAATCCCCTGTCCACTATTTGCAAAAGTTACACAGCTGTCCTTGAGTTGCTGTACTGTGTTTTAGCCTGATAGCTGTAAGCTTTGTTAGCAAGCTTTAGAATCTGTCTTGGCCAGTTGTTAGAAGGGAAGAACAGGAAATTCAGGTCCCAGTACTTTCCAGTCTTATTTGTTTGTTATAAAATGAAATTTTTTAAGGAAGAATTTGGTGTATGAATTCACCAGTGGTGGTGGTATGTTCTCCTCGGCTTCATCTCTACAGAAGGGATGTAAAGTCATGAAAAAAGCTGGAGGTTCAGAAGAGCCTTCCAGTCAAGTCAGTAGCTGCTTCACCAGGATTCTACCCTAAGAGGTCAGTAATCTAGGAAATTAAGAACTGCAATTTGAGGTGGGGTTTCAGGAAACCTGAGTTCACTGGACCCAGTTCAGTGAAGTGTAGTCGGGCCTCTCTTGTTAAGTAGTGATTTTCTCATGAGGATTTTTAATCTTCTATTTTTAGTACAAGGTTTCAGTTCTCTTCTAAGATATTTGAAAACCTGTTGTGGTACAGGGGTAAGAAAATGTTGCCCAAACCTTCCACTTAATAGTAATCTCTCAGTTTTGTTCAGTGGTGAGACACCAGAGCACTGTGTGTTTGATTGTTCCACCTTTTATTCACTGTCTTAATACCACAGCATTTGCTTTTTACCACATTTTTTGAGGTTGTCTCTCATGCACTTTGGCAGTGGAACTTCTTTTGTAACGTTTTGTTGTTTAAGAGGATGCTAGTTTGATAAATAGCAGTAATTCTCAGGCCTTTTCTTATGCCTATATGTGTCCATATCACACAGTTTTTAAAGCTGTTAATAATGTCACAAGTCAAATTTAATTTCCATTCCCAGGTATCGATGACAGATGACTGTGTACATATTTCAGCTTGTTATAGGTAAAGTTTCTGCTCTTCCTTATTCCAAAGAAAAATTTGAAGATCTGACCTGAGAAAGATAGTATAGAAACAAAAATAATTATTTTAGAACAGTCTTATGACTTTTTTCATCACCATCTGTTGCAATTTGAACAGACTTGAATATGTGCTCCTGAGAAGTAGGGCCTTGATTTTTTAATTTTTTTTTTTCCCCTTTTTGTGCTGGTAGGGGAATAACCATGACACACCTGCCCCACTTAAACAGCACTTCATTCTGCACTATTTTCTCTCTCTAACCTTTCTTCTTTGCATGGAAGAAGGGAAATTTATGGTACAGATACTGCCTGAACTGGATGCACTATGGTATAATCAGAGAAAAATCTTAAGTCTTTGCTATATGGTGTGCAGATGCTGATATTCTGGGTTAGTTTAGTTTTCTGAAATTTTCTGTTTCTATCAGATTTGAAAAATAAACCCCAAATATTTCTTTCTCTTTTTTTTTTGTGCTTAGGGCTAGTATTAGAAACCTGTACCAACAGCAGGCCAGACTCAAATATCAGCTATGGCAACCCATGCATGAAGTTGATGCCTTTGAACTATTTCCTATAGATGAGACATAGCACATACTGTGGTGAGTCAACAATGTATTTTATTAAATGATACTCCTTGGCAAAAAAAAATGCCAAATGCCAAAAAATGCTTAATGCCAAAGTGCATGCTGATTTTTTTTTTTCCCTCCTTTTTCTGTTTTTGGTGGGGGGTGGAGGGAAGGAATATTATTGTTAAAACTTCTTGTAATTTTTAGTACACATTAGCATACTACTGTCATCTTATAATGAGTTTTTCAGGTGTATATTTTAGCACTGTATAATTATCAGATGGAGCACATCAGGAATGTGGTTTCAGTGCAAGTTTTATTATAGCAAAATAATTTTTAAATGATCCTACATATGCAGAATTCTGAGCACTATTTAAAATAGTAAAATCTGTTTTACTACTGTAAAATCCACTATTTTACACCGATTTTTCTAACTAATGTTTTGCACCTTTTTGATTTGGCGTGGGGGAAAGGAGAAGTTACTATGTGTCTCTGAGATAACTGAAGAAGATTGTGATGAGTCCTCATGGAATTTTTGGACATGTATCTCTTTATCCTTGGACAGGAAAATAAATCCTGAGAATAGTGATGAAAAGCAAATGGTCTTTATAAAAATACTCTTTAGTTTTAACTATCTTAAGTCTGCTAATAATTTCAATGCGTGTTTCTTACATAATAAGTCATTTTTGATTCTGATAATTTCTTTAGGGTGGTTTTGCTATACCTTTGGGAGATGAGGAATTTTTAGATTTCTCGTGTAATCTCAATAGAGTTATTGTGAAACCTTGTTACTCTTGACGGTAGCCAATTTTCTGCTCCAAAAAGGTTTATATTTTTTTTTTCACCCCTAATACTATCTAGATGTGTGTCAGTGCAGCCACCACAACCAACACAAACTGAGGGTCAATGGCTTTAAAAAGAAGCCAGAGATTCAAGTTGGTCTGTAGACTTCAAGCAGGTCTTACGTGATTTGGCCTTTATCAGTGGCCAAATCTTACTCCTGATGCTATTGCACCAATAAGGTGTAGATCCAAGTCCCTGAAGTGTTTTTACTGTTCTGTAAGGAGATAGAACTGTTACTTGCAGATGAGGCAGAGAAGGAAATGCATAGCACACACTGATTGGTGGGCAGCAGTGGCACGAGGCTGATGTAACAGTGATGAAATGAGTGCTCTGGGGGCATGCCATTTTCATCCTTGGAGAAGCTGCTGGAAAGAATTAAACAGGTGTCAGCTAAATCTATTTGACTCTGCTTTGAAGTGAGGTGAGTGGCAGAAAGCAGTGCCTAGTAGTTCACTGAGAGAACATGTGTTCTGTTGCAATCTAAAGGGTTTCCCAAGGGGAGAAGCCATATGCTGGACATTTGTGGCATGAAGAGTCCCACCCTGGACTTCCACTTGTGGACATCCAGTGGAAGCAATTTATTTTAGCATTTATGTAGAACTTTAAAATCTCTCTGTATTACTACTATGATGTATTTAATTTGTTATGGCTTTTAAGGCCTGTTGTCCAAAGGTAATTCTTGCTAGCAAGACAGCCTTCATCTTGGTTTAATGTGTGGACTTTGGAAACTGTGACACTAAACCTTTCATATATGAATAGATCTGGGTGACTTTTGAATTCACAGTGAAGCGTAAAACCATATGAATTTTTTTTATTAATATTCTTTTCTTTTAATTACTGTGTTTAGGGTCATATAGGTAACCTGCTAGTTGTAGATAATGAAAGTTTTAAATAAGCTAGCAACAGCAAAGTTTATATGATTTATGATAGTTGATAGAGTTGTACAAGTAAAGAATTTTGTTAATATGTCTGTAACGAACAGATGTTGCATGAAATTTTTGTGTTGTTGTGTACATGTTAATACAATTAGCTGATAGTCATGGCAGTCCAGTTCCTCTCTCCATTAACATTATTAAAATTGTTGTATATGTAGAAAAATCACTTTTAAGAAGCTGAGCTTCTTAATCCCCACTCTTGGCAATTTTACATTTAGTAGTATATGTAGTGCTAATTTTGGAATACAGGGGTACTCCTGTCTACAAGCAGTGTGACTTGATAATTTGTCCCTCAAGTCATGAAGATGTCTTTATCTTAATGTTGCAGCTACTGATATTGCTGTGTGGTATTTCAAGCATGCACCAAGGGCCCTGTTCAGTGGACTTTTCTGAGTTCAGTGCACATATGTCACGTCCTCCAGCTTTGTTCTTACCAATTTAAGTTTCAGGATGGCTAATCAGTACAAATAGGAGGTTTTCAGAGACAGCATATGAAACAAAAAAATTCAGATATGTCATAGAGAGAGAGTTGCTTGAGAAATTTTCCTCCCAGCTGACATAATACTACTAGGCCAAAATAGTTAAACGTGTTTAACAGAAATTAAGGACTTCAAGGTCTTGTTCTGAAGCTACAGCTCCACAAAAAGTATCTGCAGGTGTCTTCAGGCACATAATACAATGTACTAACACGTATTTAAAGCTTTGTATGTGTAGGAATTAGGGATGTAGTCCTGTAAACATATGTGAAGCATGTGCAGTTTGAAATTTGGGGCCTTGATGTGTAAATACTTAGGCTTTCTGTGCGGGCCCTCTCCAGTTAATATTGGTCATTAAGGCAGATGCTTTGAGCATATGACTGTATTTTGAATTCAGCCATGTCTGCTGAGGAGAATGCATACTTCCTAACTGTAGAACTTGTATGAGAAATCAGAAACCACATCTAAAACTTAACATATAACAATCAAAGTTAAATTAACTGTCAAAAACCTTATAAAAATAGTCAGGAAAAGTAGCATTTGGAGAACAGAAGTCCTTATCAATATTCATCACAGAAAAGAGCAGGTAAGGAAAAAACTTGGGATATTTTGATTATCATAAAAACAAAGTTAATGTTCTAGGCAATTAGAGATTTGTAAAGCTGAGTTAGTAATTTTGGTAGAAGTCATGTGAGAAAAAGGCTTTGATATAGTTATGGAGAGAAGTAAAGTACTGGGATAAAGGAATTTTTGGGTTTTTTAAAGCACTTGAAACATTTCAAGATCTGTCTATTTGTCTTAGTAGTGTCTTGGCTTTGTATCTTGCTACTACAGTTGCATGTTTTTTTGAAAGATTGTGTTGGTTGCTCTTATGTTCGTCACTGTGTAAGTGTTAAAGTGCACAAAGAGAAATTCAGAACTCCATCTAGCCAAGTAAATGTAAAATATAAAGAGCTCCAGTGAGATTAGTGTAGTTACACCCTAACTGTACTTTTATCAGACTTGTATCAGAGGAGCTTAGAGCACAATTTCCTCTGAGAAACTTGTGTTCGGCTCCTCAGCCTAATAGACAAGCCCTATTTATATTAAATTTCCAACATATTATAAATGAAAAAACTTATTATCTGTTACTGATGATGGTGATGGAATGTGCAACATATTTCCCCTTGGAGAACTGTTGCCTTAGTGTATTTCCAAAAGCTATTTGTCATGTGATCAGCTACATACAAACAAAGGTCAGAAATGACCTCTAATAGTCAACACTTCAACTCTTCACCTTCTCTGCTTTTCAAGGAGCCTGGATTTTTTTTCCAGAAAATGCTGAGATCTTCACTTTGAATTACAGATTTTGCAGTGAAACCCCTTGATCACCTTTTACTTTTATAAACATTACTGGAAATGCCCATAAAGGGAATTTTCCCACCTTTGCTTTTTTTTCTTGTTGTTGATTATCTTTTTTTTTTCCTTTGTGTTTTTTTTTTTTTTTTTTGTCTCCTAAGGATATCGATTTGCAGAATGTTTTCACTCCTTATTAAATTCAGATAACATTATGAGGTTTTATACTATTAGTTCTTATTCTGATTCATATCCCCTCTCTCTCATCCTTGATTTGTCTTTACTGATTCCCACAGCCCCTAAGATTAGTATTTTAATTAAGTTATATTGAAATGTAGCATTGTCAACTCTTGCAGTATTTGGTTTTTTTTAATGCCTTAAGCTAAGTGTCACATATATATGAGAAACTCTGATCTTTCTTTTAATAAAAAGGTAGGCTTTTTGTTCATTTACCAGGGAAAAATGAAGCTTGGATGCTTCAAAAATGCACAGCCCTTCCACCAAGATTATTCCCTGGCAATATGTTAGAATATTGGGATCACATGACATGGTTCTTAGACATTTGGGACTGATAGTCTTAAAAATAATATATATTTTTAAGTTAGTTGGAAAGTAAAGATTTGCTATCTTTCTGAATGCTTTTAAAGACATGGACGTGCCTTGTGCTGTACCTATGTGTGTATTCCTCCAATAGCCTGAATTGGCCTTGGAAAAGGCCATTGGCACATTTAAAAAGTGAAGATGAAATCAATATAAAATATTCAAGTGCAGATGTCTGCCTTTGGGGGATCTCCAGTTGTTTAGTTTCACTTTAAAAGCATTTCATCCATCAGTATTTCATTCTACCACATGTCAGTCTGTGCTTGTTGAAAAGGAGTGGACTTAATTTACAACCTTGTGTCAGGTGTGACCTGTGAACATATCACATGAAATATTTGTGTCTGCTGTATTTTTTTGAGTTGCTGATGGAAAAACTATCTCTGTACCACCTGCTAGTCTAGTTCAGTATTTGGCAGGCTCCCCTTCCAATCTTACAGAAAATATCCAGGATTATTGCTGTAGAATATGGGAGTAGAATGTCAGACAAATATCTTCCAAACCTTTGAGCATTTTTTCAGTGTGATTCTTATGAGTTGTATTAAAATAATTTGAATAGCCTGCAGAAGAATAAATGGAAATGCCAAATCAATAACAGAAGACACGGAGAATGGTGCCAGCGGAAAGGTGGAAAAGAGACCAAGACAGCAGTAAATTCAACTGCATTAATGGGTATGGCATATGAACCCATATTATATGAAGTGGTGGGAAGTATTTTGTTACCACAGGGCGAAAGATTTTGCCTCCTTCCTCTTCTAGGCTTGTTAACGGGGTATAGCTCTGTGCCTATGTCTTTGTGAACTGTTCTTATCCAAAGTGTCTTTCCTTCTCACAATCTGTCAACAGG